CAGTGCGTGAGAAGACTTATTAACAACACCAGCGCCATTTAAAAAAGAGCGGACATAAATTGCATACAAAATACAGAAGTATTACAGTACCCTGGCTATTATTTTTCTTGTTATGGTTCCAGGACATTTGTTTATTAATTATTTCTTTCTGGGTTTTTGTTTGAAGTCCTTCTTTGAAGTTTCTCTTGGACCACTTGATGGCGCCAGTTATGGACATTTTCGATCAAGAAAGCTCTAAAAAAGTTTTCATTCAAGAGAGTTATATAACACGTTGTATAACACTTTATACCTAATGGTTTAGGATATTATCATTCTCAAATGTCTAAAATTATATTAGACGATGAAAATTGTAACTCTCCAAAAACTTTGTTTTATAGCAAAAAAGAGAAGAGAGAATAATTATGGACAACCCGACCAAAGCTCAGACATGAACCAATGTAAAATGTATGTAAAATGTGTGTAAAGTCGCTTACATCATAAATTGCAAAGATCTGCCACTGACACAATCGAATAATGCACATGCAGCAGCACATTTTAAGTAATAATTCATATTTTCAGGAATTGATTGATTCAACTTCAAAATTCAAATTTAAAATCCTAAAATAATTTACCTCAATTCAATTAACAAAAAATCCGCATTTATATGATTTTATTTGTACGATGACGTAGCCAAATCGTCCTACATCGTCCTAAGCAACAACCAACTTTAAGACGTACAGAAATCACAAACCAACTAACCTCCCTCCAAACATAAATTAGGTGACAACTCTTTAATTTATAATCAGCTGTTCCACCTTTCATAGTTTTCTATACTAAATCGATTTTAATATTTAATTAGATAAAGTAAAGATATATTTAAATAAACAAACACTAGACAAAGCTGAAAAAAGGCCTATGAAATGCCAAAGAGTGCCAAAAACATAATTTCTATACGATCTATGGACAATATTTAATGTCATCGAAGCCCACTAAAAATGAATTAAACAAACTGCAAAGAGCACTACTCTTCTTAGACATCGAAATACCCGACGACAGTTGTGACACAAAGTTGACCAAAGCTAAAGTCCAAAGCCCCATCCAAATGCGAGGGCGAAGGCTCTTAAGTATCCCATATGTCAAGTGGATTACATTTTGGGGGCCAGCGATGCGATGCGTAGGCGCTGGCGCTGGACTGCTCAAAGGCCAAGAAAGCCAGCGATTGAGGCGAATAGATAGCAAATGGAATTGACTAACGTCCAAAGTTATGGAAGGGAATGGAATGGGCGACAAGGGTTCTCTCCTTTGATTTTTATAGGTCACAGAAGAGACTACCACAAGGCAGCGGGCATTGAAGCAGCAACAGCAACACCACTCTTCCCCAGCCCCAGATTAAAGACAACTTAGAGTTGATAAAAAATAAACTACTTGAAAAAGTTTCATTGTGTTAGATAAGAAGGTGTCGTACAATAAAACAAGACACAAAGTAGATAAAATAAAGTTTTTGTGGTGGAAATAGATGGACAGATAAAGAGTTTTACTAATAAAATACGAATTGTTGCTATACGAATACTTTTTCTTTATCAACCTGTTGTATGTATGTGTACATACCTATGTAATAAATGTAATATAATTATAAAAATATGAATGAAATTCTGTATTTTCTGCTGTAAAAATGCCAGAAGAACCTAAGCAGCAGCCACCCTTTTAGAATTCTATCCCCTTAACACCGCCATACTATTACAATACCAAAAAAAAATGTATGGTCACGCTTAGGATATAATTTTTCCAGCTTTCTGTCAAACTTGTATCCGTCAAATTGGCGAAATATTCGATTGGCAAGTTTTTGTGTTTTCAGCTTAAAATAATTAGCCCAAAGGTAATTGCAAAAACTTGTGTAAGGTTTCGTGCAAAAAATAATATTGGGCGTAAAAAGGCAATAAATGCATCCAAAAACTATAATTTATTAGCTGTAGATTTTGTTTGGAATTGAAGGATGAAGCGGATATCGAACAATTCTGCACAAACAATTCACCTGCGTCTGTTTGCGCCTCCTTCCCTATATTGAGCCTATATCCCTATATTAAGTGGCATGCCACGCTGCCCTTCCGCGATTGCACACATATTTTTTTGTTTGCAAGATCACCTTCCCCTCGAAGGGCATTCGCATAGATGGCAAAGTGCCAGGAATTGACAAAAAGTTCTCTCTAAACATCTACAAGCACGAGGTGTTCAATGCGATTTCAAATTTTTAGAGAACTGAGCAGCCCCAGGCTATTCTGGCGCTCAACTTGTTCAAGACATGCGAGGAGTATTTAAAAACGCAGCTCTGCCTGCCCTGTTATGAACATAATGTCTTCAACCTACACACCAAATTCCTCGTGTTGCACTTCGATGGCAGCATCGATGGCACCTTCCGTGAGAACATCAAGAGGGTGTTCAGCCACCTGGACGAGATCTCAGCAGAAGCTGCGGCCTTGTCGCCAACGATCGCACGGGCTATGATGAGCTTATTCGGGCAGCGGTATGGACAGAATTTGTATCCAAATTATGGACCATTTGTGCCTGACCAAGGAGCTGCTCACCCACACAGATTGCAGAGGCCCTACGCGAGCATACTCACATTTTCAGTACATCCTTCTACTATCGACAGACGATGATAATGGGTACCTTCGACATGCGGCAGACAGCGACCCAGACGCGGCATGCCGATGTCCAGGAGTGGACCCAAGTGGGGGACATTCTCGACAAGGACTTTATCATTGTTCCCGAGCGATTCTACGAGCTGGACTGTTGGCTACTCGCCATTATCTGTTTCCCGAGCCTTAAGGGCCTGGTCACCACCAGGAATCCACCACGACCGGAATCAGCCTCAGGTTGGCAGCACCGACGGCCGGATAAGTTGCCTGCGTTGAGGCAGTCCCTGATCCGCATGTTTGACTCGTTGGGGCCAACTCCAAGCCGTCTTGTGATAGCAACGCTAAGGAATTATCTCACTTGCGTGGTCACCAGCAAAGCCATAAAAAGTCGCCTTCGGAGCACTAGGAAAGACAGTGGCACCTTGAGACCAGCATGAGCTCTAAGATCGAGAATTATCAGGGAATTGCACTCTCGAGCGTATTCCTTGTAGACCAGGATCTCATAGCAAGTACAAATAAAGTGTATCCCTAATTTATGTCCTGCCTAAGAATTGGAAATGTTTTATCCCTCAACGACTTTCCTATAGCACACTCTCCATCCACTAAAGCCATCAAACATTCCCTTAAAGTAGTTTGAAAATAGAAACTCAAATCCCTGCCACCCTCGCAATCAAAAGTGTTCAAAGGGAATGTGCAACAGGGAGAGTGTGAAGCAACCCTCTAGATAAACTGCAAAACGATCCTTAACCAAGTGCATCCATTCACAGGACACTAGGGATTATGAGACACCCGATATGGAGGCAGGGTCTGTGCAGTGCACATAAACCATCTAATTAGAAAGGCAGAAAGACAGGCCAGCCTTTCCAGTCAAACATAAATGAAAAGTCATATAAGTTGGAGGGAAAAATCCGCAATAACAGAGGGGTGAAACCCTCCCCTCCACTTCACTCCACTTCATTGATTATGCCCCCGGATCTTGGGCCAGGATACGCTCTGCTCTACCCTCTCTCTACCCCCTGGAGGGCAAGAAAAACAATTTCAATAAGGAAATTCTTACTGTGACAAGCAGCAGCCATTTGGCTATCCAATGGTCGCTGCTGCCTCCCTCTCTGTCATAATTGCCAACTAATGAGGCTCGGGGACGCCTCCAAGTTTTTCATTTCCTATGGATGGGTGCCTGGCAGGCAGGAGGTGTTGCAGGGGACACTTTAAAAAACTTGCCACACTGCTTGCTGATAAAAGCAGCAACAGCTCGGCAAAGTTCTTTCGGCAATTAACTTGCCGCACATTAAATGATACAAAAAAAATAAGATGAAGAGAACAAAATCATGAAGGAAAACTCAGGCAAAAAGTATGTGCAGCAGGACTTTGTTGGGGATGGTGGAGTGTACAGGGGAAAAAACTCACGACACAAAGGGACGATGAAGTTTTCACACACAAAACAAAGACGAGAGGAAAAGCCACTAAGGGACTGGGCGACGTGGGACAGGGGCGGAGATGGGGGCGGGCGTTGCAATTTGGGTCAAGCCAAAAAGATAATGCGGTTCGCGGCTTCCTTCTTGTCACAGGGAGAAACTTTTGTTTTGTATCAACTTTTATTTGGGGGCGCCTTTTCCCTTCAATTTTCTTCACATTTCTTGGCGAATATTTGCACTACTGTTGCTTTTTCTTTGAGTAAACAGATTCCCGGTGGAGATTTTCTTAATGAAAACTGATTTATGAGACTTTTTTGGCAATTTAAAAGCGATTTTAGAACGAGTTTGTTTAAGTAAAGCACGGTTAAAGTTGATTAAGATACGGACAACTCATGTCGGGTTTATTTGCATGGCTTTCAGGTACGTCTTTCTTTATTTAAAGTGATTGATGTTGATGTTTGTTATTGTAAATAAAGTCACATTCATTGGAAACAATTTTTGTACACTTTAACCATTTCAGGTACCGTTTTCTATTTTGCACCGCTTCCAGTTCACTTTGATCAATGAAAACCCATTTCACGCGCGTATTTTCAATGGTCACACTATAACAAATCAATTTTCATTAAATTTAAGCCATTTCTGGCACACTTTTCTCACAGTAAGCCGCATTTTTAGCCATTTTCATATCATGCACAAACTTGCAGCTTCATTTCTTTAGTGTCAACCAACTTCAGCCTCTGTTTTGGCTAGTGTAAACATTTTTTTCCTCATAGTAAACCCAATTTTCTTATAGTAAACGGACTTCAGGTCCGCCTACGCAACACACTGTGGACCCGTTTTGAGGGCAGTACCCCTGCCGCAAGCACAACGAGTGGCAGCATAACAAGATATTTATGCTGTGGGCCCCACACATGTCGAATATTTCTCGCTTAGATTTACTTTAATCTTCAATTAAAGACACAAAACTTACAATTGAATCGATTTTTTTAGCACACAACACTCACACACACACACTCATGCACCCGCGCGCACATGAACGGGCGCGTAGTGTGCGTAAAAACAAGTGGAAAACGCCGACTAAGTGGTAGCATGTGCAGTAACAGCAAACATTTGGCGCTGAACAAGCGTATTTCATACAACTCTCTTGACAAAACACCGAGCGCGATAGTCGACGATTAAACAACAAACGAAAAACAGATATAAACAACTATTTTGACAAAAAATCGCGGAACGCGGAACAGACCAGTGTGCCCGAGGAATTTATCGATAAATATACAGAGAGACCCTCGGAAATATACCCAAATATACACTTGCTTATTCAAAATATACTCCAAATATACCGTAATCTTAAATCATGTTCCTCGATTTTGATCGTCTGTTTGATTGATTGCAAAATAAAACTAAAAAGGCCAACTAACAAAAATAGCATAAAACGTTACGTTAGTGGGAAAGTGCTACATATTTGACAATTTGTTGCTTGCCAACAGGTAGGTATAGTATGAGTATTTTTATACCCCATTTCCCTATTACCCTATCTCCCTTTTCTCTATATCTTTTCCATATTTCCCTTTTCCCTATATCCCTTTTCTCGGTATCTGCATAATTTTGTTGAGATAGCTTACCAACACAGATGAATGTTTCTGCATTGATTGGTGCCAGAGATTTCAAAAATTTCCTCGATTCGAGGATATCCCTTTTCCCAAGGAAATCATAATGTTGCTCATTCTGTGCATATGTTGGGGAACAGTACTGATCACTTTTCGCAGCATGTTGCTGGTCCATACAAAATAATGTTGCCTACGGTAAAATATGCGAGTGGCGACGGAATAAAGACTCATTGTTGTGAAGAAAATTCCCATGTTGCGAGAAAAAATTCCTTACGGAAAAGAGCGAATCTCCTCGTATGAGAGTTGGGATACCCTATTGATTAAATATGCCTTAAAAATTGAATTTAATGGATGGATGAAATTAAGGAAATAAACCATTATATACCGATATACCGTTAATATACAATTAACTAAATTTCGTAGTTTCAATATTTAAATGGTCACACTGGAACAAAAACAAAATTTTAGCAAAACAACGATTCCAGAAACCGCAGAAAAATACCGAAATATACCATAAATTCATGTAAATATGAAAATTATATTCCTCTAGTTGATATTCTGCTTAAAATTACTAGCAATGTAGAAGTCTTAAGACTGAAGATATACTCTTATCCGATTGATGAATCAATTATCCATATGATTGTTTAGCTTTCAGGCCTTTACAAAACACGGCTGAGCCCACACAAATATTTAAACTCCAGCTGGCTTTGAAGCAGAACCAGCGAACCCGCTTCAGAACGGGGAGTATGGAACTACTTAGAGAACCAGTTTGAGGAACAGCTGAGGAAACCAGGGATGGGGAAGCAGGCACTTTGAATTTGTTTAAATATTTGAATTTAACTACGTTTTATTTGAGATAAACACTTGAGCCTGATATCTTTGACTGGATTACTTACAATATTTGATTATTTATAAATTGATTAAGCGATTATTTGCGATTATTTCTATTTATAAGCAGTTTTCTGCCCTGCTATTTGGTATATTATAATTCTTTAGTGGCTTTTTGTTATAAAAAATGGTTTTTTAACGCTTTTAAGTTTAAAGCACTGTGTCACAGTATCAGAATAATTTCATCAACTTTTAATACAATTTTGATTCTTTAGATATGCATTGGGGGGGTTTTTTAATGGCTATTTGAATGCACTTTGTTTTTATTGGGGATAAATCGATTTTTTTTTTTGTGATTTTTCGGCTTTCCCTTTAAATATTATCCGAAATCGAAGTTTTTTTTTATTATAAAGCCGAGTGTTTATGGACTGCAATGGCCATGCTTCACACTAAATATTGAATTGTTTTCCAAACATTTTTACAACATTTCCACTTGAATACGCGAAAAGATTTAAACAAATGTCCATTGATGGAAAGAGAGCAGGACACGAGGAAAGCGCACGCTGTCAACTGAACCAAATTCCTTTAGAGCAGGACTCCACATAAATTTTGGGGGTGGCTCCGACTCCGGCAGGGACATGCGCACCAAACAAGTGCAGCATAAATCCTTTTAAAACCATTTTTCCCGCCGAATCTATAGTCTAGAAATCCATACAAATATATTTTACAACTACAATAATACATAATGAGAGCATGCCCTAAAGTAAATTAAAACCGAACTAAACGTATACAAATTTAATGGTAATCAATCATAATATGATTATAAATAGTATCTATCGTGGGTATGGCCGTTGAGTTGGGTTTGACTGCAGCCACAGGCTCTGCCGTAGGCTCTGCCGCAGGCATAGGACTAACATCCTCTTTGATCAGCGGCTTAGGCTTCTTGCCAAAGGCAAAGCAACCGCTCTGCTTGGTGGCCACGGGCGATAAATTATCCTTGTTCTTCGTGCTACAACAAATGGATGGGAAAATCATTAAATAAATCGAGTCTTAATGGAGCATTCAATAGGTTCACCCACAAAGCTTTGAGCGCCTCTAGTTTGGGTATATTCCGATTGCATGTCTTGCCACCGCCCGCCGCCTCCTGGGCTGCCAACTCCTCGGGATGTGACTTTTTCTTGTGCGTGCGGCAGTTCGAGCCATTGGCAAAGGTGCGATCGCAGAAGTCACAGGAGTACGGCTTAAGGCCCGTGTGCAGTATAAGGTGATTCTTGAGCGCCTTGGCGCGCTTAAACTCCCTGCCACAGTAGTCGCACTTGTGCTGCATCTGATCCGTGTGCACCAGACGATGCCGGTTGAGGGTGGTGCGAGAGTTCAGCTGCATGCCGCACTCGGGACAGATGTACTTGTGCGGATCGTGCGTCTCCTTGTGGTGCTTCAGTCGGCTGGCGCTCTTGAAGCACTTCTTGCACACATCACACTCGAAGGGCGCGTCGTCCGTGTGGGTGAGTACGTGCACCTTGAGGTTGCTGATGGACGTGACGCGCACGCCGCACTGCTCACAGATGACGGGACGCGGCCGCTCGTCCAAGTGCATGTACTGGGCATGCTGCAGGGCGGAGGCATTGCTGGCAAACATCTTGTCGCAGCTGGCACACGGATACACTTTGCGCTTGGGCATCGGCAGATGGCCCTGGCTGTGCCGCTCCAGCTGGTAGCGAGTGCGAAACTTCTTCGGGCACTCCTCGCAGGCCAGCAAATTGGGCTCGTAGATCCGGTCATGGTCCTGCCGCATGTGGCGGTTCAGCGTGCTGGCCCTGGCATACGCTCGCGTACAGACGCTGCACTGATGCGCCTTGTCGGGGTCCTCTTTCGATTTGCTCCGTTTTGGTGGGCATTTATGGCTGTCGCGTGAGGAATTTTCATCGGTAATGCCATAGGCATCGCACAGATTCAGTAGCACTGCATCTCCATCGTACTCCTGCTCCTCCTCCCCTTCCTGGTCCTCCTCTTCAGGTTCGTTCTCCTCGCTTCTACTTGTTGCTTCCTCATGCTCCTCCTCTTCCTGATCATCCGCCGTCTCATTTAGCGGGTTCTTCAGCTCGAAAGAAGCCTCTTCTATGAGCAGATCGCCCTGGACGCACAGCTTGGGTTTCTCCTCCACATAGTGGACTTCTGTGAGGCTCTCTGGTTCCTCCTCGAGCAGGCCAAACTTAGAACGCAACTCCTGCAGATTTATCTGTTCCTGCTTGTCGCTGGCCTGGAGAATGCAGTAGAGCTTCTGCACACGGCTTATCCGCTCCGAGAAGTTGACCAAAGTTGTGACCAGCGTGAGGCATTCCGTGCAGATCATCTTGGGCAGCTCCTCGTTACGCGTTATCTGTGAGTATGTGCGGAGTGATCAATACTGCTTTGAGGATAGCCAATTGCCACTTACATCCACCCAAAAGTACTTGCCAATGGCTGTGGCTAGGGCCAGATCGTTGCCGGAGCCATCTCCAGGACCGCCAGCATGCTCGTGCTTCAGGAACACGTTGATGTTTCCCTGCAGGTCGTCCTTGGCACAGAGCCGGCACCACAGATGCCAGTCGGTGGCATTTGGCTCGTGGCCACTCAGCGTGGCGGCGGCCATTGCCAGAATTATTGGCAATTATAATTATTTTGCGAATTAAAACCAGAATTATGAAAAAATTATCAACAATGGAGCTTTCAAACAAATCACAAGCTTTCAAACAGTGTGACCGCTTAATTATGGATCAAATATACCGACAGACCCTCGGAAATATACTGGAACATACCCATTTGCAAAATGCACTGTAAATATAAAATCATTTTCCTCGACTTTGATCTTCCGTTTAATATTACCGGATGGTTGGGACTCTCAGTGGTAAAACTACAATTTTATCCAAATAATGAGACAATCCTCAACCAGATTAGCCTCTTTTAATGACATTTTTTAATTGGATAAGTGAAAAACTAGATGGCAAAGTTCTTTACAACCAGATATAGGATACTTTGATTTATTTGAAATGAACATTTCCAGTTTTATTGAATTCTTCAAACTAAATTTCATCCATATTAAAAAAAAAAAACGTAAAACATTAAGCTATTTTAATGACCCGAATCTATCAGACAATTCTTTTCAGTTCCCTAAGGAAACAAACAAGTTTGATTTTGTCGAGTAGTATAATAAATGTAAAAATGAACAGTCTATCAAAGTTTAAATCTGAAGATCTGGCAGCACCTTTGTAAGTAAACAGCTGCTCCGTGTATATTTTTGTTTATTTCCAATTGTGAAATTAACCGAAAAATAAATTCAACTATAAACGATGCTGGAGGCTCGTCTTGGGGAAACTCAGCTGCTTAAGAAGATTGTCGATGCCCTCAAGGAGATCATCTCGCTGAGCACCCTGGACTGCAGCGAAACAGGCATGCAGGTACAGCAGAAATCCTTCCCAACAAGAATTGTCCATTACCTGTTCGATTTTCCGCCTACTTAGCTGCAGTCCATGGACAATTCGCACGTTTCGCTGGTGTCTCTGAGCCTGCAGACTGGATGCTTCGAGAAGTACCGCTGCGATCGTAATGTCTCGCTCGGCTTGGATCTCAAATCCCTGTCCAAAGTCGTCAAGAGCGCCAGCGGCGATGACAGCGTCACACTGTCCGCGGCGGACAAAGCTGACAAGCTGCTCCTTAGCTTCGAGTCGGACAACAAAAGTCGCACGGCGGACTACGAGCTAAAGCTGCTGAATCTGGACCAGGATCATCTGGGCATACCCGACACGAATTACGCCTGCACCGTGCAGATGCCTTCGAGCGAGTTTGCTCGTATTTGTCGGGACATGAGCATGTTCAGCGAGACGGTGGTAATTTCCTGCACCAAGCAGGGCATCAAGTTCTCGGCCAACGGCGACCTGGGCTCGGCCAACATTAAGCTTGCCGAGACCTCCAAGGGGGACATCACCATAGACGTGGAGGAGCCCATAACCCAATCCTTTGCCGGACGATACCTGAACACTTTCACACGAGCCACGCCGCTGTCGGATCGGGTCAAGATATGCCTAGCCCCGGAGGTTCCTCTGCTGGTGGAGTACTCTATCGAGGACTATGGGTACATACGATACTACCTGGCCCCCAAGGTGGACGACGCGGACGCCTAACATGTTACAGAAAACATTATGTGCAATATTTTCAAACTTTCCAAATATTAATTTAACTGTTTTTAGTTGTAAAAATTTAAATAAATTATTTATATTTAAAAACTATTGAAACTATCGATAATGCATCACGGATGAAGCCTAGTATTCAGATCGAAAAAAAGGTGCCGCTAGAAAAATCAGGGATGATATTCATATGGAACCGATAAGAAACGTTGTCGGGCACAAACTACTACCACTGACCAAATAGTATACTATTTGGTTAGTGCTACTACTATTAATTGCCGGTCGATACTTTCGATGGTGAAGCGAAACAATCGATAGTATAAATATTCAAGCATCGATAGCGCCAACGATTTATATCCCAGCCCTAGTAGCGATTAAATACAAAAAAAATTAAATTCACAAATTTTGGCAAAATAAACTGCATTTAACGCCACAAATGGACACCGAGGAAGTGAAACGCGGTCGTGGACGTGGCCGTGGTACTCGTGCGCGTGGCAGGGGTCGCGGGCGTGGACGTGGTCGCGGCAAAAAGATCGACGACGCCAGCGTAATTGAAGCCGTGGCGTCTGCCGTCCTGGAAGGCAGTCCCGCCAGCACGGACCATGTGGAAGATGCCATAATGCAGGACTTGGACAAGGACAACGAAATGGAGGTGACCACAGTGCTGGAGGAGCAACAGGCCACAACAAGTGCGGATATGACACCGACGGCGACGCAGCAGCAGGTGGCACTGCCGGTAATTCCCAAAACGAGTAAGAAGACAGCCCAAAGGATTGTTGCGACCACGTAATAACATTCCCTTTTGCCCCAAACAGTTGACATGGAAGCGGACATATCACAGCTGGAGGCACCCACCTTTACCACATTGTCGCGCGGGCCACCGGAGCCTATGCTGCGCCTGAAATGGAACCACAAAGTCAGCCTCATCGGCGAGAAGGTACTGAATCCCATGATCCACTGCTGTGATCAGTGCGACAAGCCCATACTCGTCTACGGCCGTATGATACCGTGCAAGCACGTCTTCTGCCTAAAGTGCGCCCGCGCCGAACCAATCAAGAGCTGCCCGCGATGCAGCGACAAGGTGCTGCGGGTGGAGCAGAGCGGCCTGGGCACCGTCTTCATGTGCACCCATGGCGGCAGTCGGTACGGCAGCACGGGCTGTCGACGCACCTATCTGTCACAGCGCGACCTGCAGGCGCACATCAATCACAGACATGTGGCACCCCAGTTGCCGCCACCGCCAACGGCCCTTGGTGGAGCAGCGGGCGGCGGCGTTGGCGTTGTTGTTGACCCAAAGCTGGCGGACCTGAGCGGCCTGCACAAGCAGCGCAAGGCGAGTGGTAGCTATGGCTCCTAAACTAAGCTGTCTTGTCTAAAAACGCTTGCCCCTTGCAGCTCTCCGAGTCACCTGCCTCGTCCTCCTCCTCCTCCGTTGCTCGCTCCTTGTCTCGCCTCCCCACCATGTCTGTCGGCGGCATTGGAACCATACCACCGCCTGGCTCCGCCGCTGCCGTCGCGGCCGCTCAAAACTCCGTCCACGCGCACTCAACGCTCACGCTGGCGAACCTGGCGAGAATCAACAATGCCAATGCCCTGGACTGCCACCAGGGCAAGGCCTCACTGCACCAGTCTCTGAAAAAGGGCCCGCCCCATCAGTCAGAGTCCGTGGCCGATGCATCCTACTACAGCAGCATTTTGGCTTCCTTTGGCAGTGCTGGACCCCCGGGCGCTCCACCTATCAATACGGTCAGCGGCGGCGGTGTTTCAGCGCCTGGCCACAACTCTGTTCAAGCCACCTACGAGACTGCCAGTGCGGCGGGCAGCACAAGCGGCAATTGGCAGCAAACGCAATATAGGATATGATAGACGCCACCACCAAAATACCACCCAAGAGGGACGGCACTTTAGGCAAGTTCGGTTTTAAGTTAAGAAAATGAATTAAAGCTAAGATTGAAATGAAATTAAAATAAATGTATTTTAAAGAAAGCTTTGTTTTAACTTTTTTATTATGTATGCTTTCTATACAGAAAGATTGTAGATATTTAATGCTGTACTGATTGTTTCTTATCTGTTTTGTCGAGATAATTGTCAAAGCGTGGACAGCAGAAATATTAGTTCGTTCTTTCCTTTTTCATTTAAATGGCCCGCTCGAAAACAGTAATCAATATTTTCCTGAGCATATCGCTATCGATACACAGTCAGCAACATGAAACGAAGCTCTTTGTTTAATAAAAGCTCCTCACTTCATGAACTTCAATTAGTTAAGCCGGTATTTTCACCGGGCTCCGACGGAGTTCCCGGCTGTGTACTCAGGCACTGTGCCGAGTCTCTGTGCGGACCTTTGCTTAAATTATTCACTCTATCCATCCACTCCTCTAGCTTTCCCCCCATCTGGAAGGAATCCTTATAATTCCTCTCCATAAGAAAGGTAGCAAGTCTGACGCTAAAAACTATAGAGATATATCGTCATTAAAGGCTTCCAAGGTAACTTGCAGACGGATGTTATTTACACTGACTTCAGCAAGGCATTCGATTCTGTAAACCATTCTCATCTTGCACAAAAGCTCGACCTTCTAGGGTTTCTAGGGTTCCATCTCTTTTGAGATGGATTTCTAGCTACCTGTGTTCTAGGTCTCAAAGGGTCCTTTTCAAAAACTCCGTATCTTTACCTGTTATGGTTACTTCTGGAGTACCACAGGGTAGCCATTTAGGCCCCTTACTTTTCACACTCTTTATTAATGACAAATTCTCGAGTACTTATGTATGCGGATGATGTTAAGCTCTGTGTCCAGTATAAAGACATTTCATTTCACTCTCGCTTGCAATCAGATCTCAATAGCTTTCAGTCATGGTGCTGTGCAAATATGTTACAACTTAATGCCTCGAAGTGCAATGTAATGACTTTTTATCGCTCCAGCCCCTTCCTGGCTCCTTACACCCTCTGCGGTAGTTCTCTTGAGAGAATTACATTGGTTGATGATCTAGGTGTTAAGCTAGACCCCAAGTTAAAGTATTCTGAACACATTTCTACCATGGTAAATAAAACCATGGGTGTGCTTGGAGTTATAAAGAGATGGTCAAAGGAATATGATGAAGACTCTCTATATCTCGCTTGTTCATCAGCACAACATAAATCAGGACCGTATTGAATAAGTGCAGGAAAACTGTTTACTTTTTGCCCTGCGTGGCCTCAAAGGGATGCAACTGTGAGACTGCCATCCTACCATAGTAGACTCCTTCTAATAAACCTTCTATCCCTAGTTAATCGTGGAAAAATGCTTGGTGTAATTTTTATGCACAAATTAATCAAGGGGGATGTAAACAGCACTGACTTGCTGAGCCGCATAAACTTTACGATTCCCATTAGACCCACTAGAAACATTATTCCTTTGTGTCTTCCACTATGTCTCACACGAACCCTTTAGGGTTTTATGCTCGGATTATAACTCCCTCTACCACATTATATCCTCAAGGGAGTTACCCTTCCTCTTCCTAAATCTCTTATGCTAGGTAGGTAGAGGTAGGCTCTCTCCCGTAGCTAGTTTCATTTTAGTTTTGTTTTGTTTCTGATTTTGGTAATTTTTGCTTTCTTAGCTATAGTTGCTTTAGTCTATCTATCTTTCCTGCATGCTCGCGACCGGTTCGGTTAATCGCGCCGCGCGTCATGCGGCAGCGCCCCTCGGTCGGTTGGGTGGGAGGAGGGCTGCGTACTGATGGGTTCCGCGAGTAACAGGCTTTGGCTTGGTGTCGCATGGGCCACTTGATGGTGCAGTCATTGCATATCAACATGCATCAAGACAAGATGAAAAAAAAATGGCAAAGGAAATACGCAGCGAGATTGCATTTCTCCCAAAACCATTTCTGAAAAGAAAAACAATTGCTAAATTCATTATTTGTTAGTGTTTTTTTATATGTTTTCATCGTTCAAACGGCAATTCCCAGCTGTCTACTTCACAGCACATCAATCGATACTATCGATACCCAGTCAGCTGCTTGAAATTCAAATGGTAAACAAATCCAAACAGGAATGCAATTAACATAAATAAAATGCAACAATGCCTGAGACTTAACCCAGAGTTCAGGCCTGCGAGAATAACTCATGTAATAAACCACACCCGAGTAGCATTGAGGGCTGAGCCAGCGCAGTCATTGAAAAAAGCGAACTAGAGGAGAGGCAGCAAAAGTGAAAGTTGGCCAGAGAGTAAAATGCTGAAAATTGTCTTAATCAGTGGCAAACGCAAGTGTGGCAAGGATTATATATCCGAGAGGCTACAAAAGCGGTAAGTGGTGCACAAATCAGACATTTAATTAAAGTAATTTTGTTTTTATTCTTTAGCCTAGCGAATCGCGCACGAATCGTGCGGATCTCAGAGCCCATCAAATCGGAATGGGCACGCAAGCTGCAGTTGGACCTCAGCGCATTGCTCAGCGATGGGCCCTACAAGGAGCAGTATCGTCGGGACATGATCGTGTGGAGCGATGAGATGCGCACCAAGGATTATGGCTACTTTTGTCGTGCAGCCATGGCGGAGGCACCCTTGGATCAGACGCCTTACATCATAGTCAGCGATGTGCGTCGCAAGAATGACATCAAATGGTTTCGCGAGACCTATGGCCAGGACATGGTCCGTACTGTGCGTCTAACCTCCCGACCAGAGACGCGTCAGGCACGCGGCTGGACCTTCACCGAGGGCATTGATGATGTTCCCTCCGAATGTGATCTGGATGACTACGATAGCTTTGACTTTGTTGTACCTAATGAAGATGAGAATGATCAGGGATTTATAGACCAGCTAGTGGATATGCTGCAGTTGAAGTAGTTGTGTGGATATTAATATTCTCATTGCACTCGAATATGTATTTTTGATATCAAATGTATTCTAAAATGGTTAGGCTAGGTTAGGCTAACTTTTATCTGCATATTGAGTTAAGAAACTAATCACAAATGCCTCTCTGGCCACTTTGAGCGGAACAAACTGTTTTTATGACCAATTTTTCGTCGCAAATGCAAGACATCCTTTTTGTCTGCCCATATTTTGTTCACAAATGCTTAATAAATGTATTTATTCAAAAATGTGTCTACATACATAATGCAGTAAGGTTTTATTTTATTTGAATTGACCGCCTAGCTGGCAGCTTGGCTTACAGACCAGTGTGGCAAGGCTTCATAGGCGACGTGGCCACACTGTTAATGGAAATTTTAAATTATTTATTTTAAAGATCTTTACAAATGTTGTTCATAGATAGCTTAGGAACAGCTTAAAATCAATATTTTGTAGTAAATTAAATTGTAGTTTGTTTTAATATCAATCATACATGCATAATGAAGTACAAAGTACATAACCGAATACTGAGTGAGAGGGGACAAAGGTTATAGCTTTTAAAAACAATACATTAAGTACATAGATTAAGTAATCCCTTACGCAGGAGTCTACAAACTAAGTCAGATGCAACAAATAAGTACAGAAAACACAGATTAACAATATTTTATATTTTTGCGAGTATATTTAGTTGGGGTAATTAATCCACTTGCTTGCCCTCATCACGATTTCGCTTGAACGAAACAGAATGGATGAGTAGTGGCGGTAGATTTCCGCGCAGCATTTGCAGGCGCTTGCTCTTCTCCTTCTCCGGACGACGCAGCTCGTTATTGGAGGACCCCGGGGACGTGGAAGACGTGGCCGATGGGGTCATGGAAGCCAACGAGCTGCCAGGCAGCACTTCGGAGCTTTGCGTCATGAGCATTGCTGAGCGACGGAAGTAGCGTGGCATCGAGTAATCATCCTGTGTGGCCCTCGCCGCATTTGCCGTCTGAATGGAGTAAAGGCTCTGCGACACGCGATACTTCTCGATGGTAGGTGTGTCCTCGTAGTTCTTGGGCAGATTGCTGAACGATATGAAAGGCACCTCCGGTGTCATGCTGATCTGGCTGCTGTTCACAGTGCCGCTGATCGAGAATATATCCGTCTCACTGGCCGCCGATCTCACATGCATGTGCGGCACACTCTTGGCCGAGCGCAGGACACGCTTCGGTGTACTGGGATTGGGCAATAGGTGAGGATGTCGATCAATAAGACGCGGACGTAGGACCACTTCCTCTATGGAATCCTCTTCTTCCTTTTCGTCCTCTTCCTTCTCCTCCTCGGCAATGGCCTCGAACTTCTTGGGCGACAAGGTCTGACTGCCCTCGGGCGTGCAGTCAGCCGAGGATGGGGCCAAAGTGAATGTGATTCGTTTCTCGGGTGACGTCTTTGCGTCTGTAGCATCGCCTGGAAAACAAGTTACAAAATTACAACAAAATCGCAACTAAAGATTATCAGATAGAGCCCCATAAAAGGTTGGCCAAACAAGATAAGACCCCGAGAGTTCACGACAGATATCACAGATATGAAGAGATAATAAACAGTCCTCCGGGGAAACTAGGAAAGAACAGCCACTTGAGAAATTCCCCGTTTCTAAAGAATCATAACCTATAGCAACAGATATTGTATGTATATATTAGACGCTTCTTATCTTAGTTGGGGAAAACGAATGACAAGCTAAAAGCCATCAAATACTGGCTGACCGCACGAAATCTTTATCTATGGGGAGTATAATGTAATCATGCTGATTCAGTCAACATTTACGATACAAAGATTGTTGTATAACTTGCATAAAAACAGTGGGAATCAAAGATATAGAGAAATATTAACGTAACTGAAGAAATTGATATACAAAATTATTTGTAATTAACTTCTTAGCCACTTTTATGGCACAACTAAAGAGCATTACTTAAAGTTCTAGAAAGCAAATTAAGGAATTCTCTTCTCTGTGTATAAGTTGCACTGAAACGCACTGTTGATATGCCCCAAACGTGGCTCACAGTCAGAACCCCTGTATGAGGGCACGTCTCAGAAAATTCAAACGTCAGAACCATAAAAATATAGCATATGTATACTGTATACGTACTATATCTTGTGACGCCTTTGCGGCAATACTCACAGTGAGCGAAAGGCAATAAAATGTGAGTTATAAATGGTGCTTTTGGCTCAGTGTACAAAAAGTCCATTCACCATTCAGCAAGAAAAAACGTGATGAATAGTTAAACGTCGTCAAGATTGGCATATAGTGAGTACATACATATTACATGTACGTTTAATCTATAAATACAACAAAGACCCTTGGGTACAACAATATTCTAGGTCAACTTTTTCATTGTCTGGGCAGACAATTCCTTCGAAATGAAAGGGGAATTGTTTACTTTGTAGCTTTAAACAAAAAAACAAAGTTAATCTTAAAAAAGTCTTCTGACTTTTTGACACTTTTTCGATTTTAAAAAGTTTTAAGGAGTGGCTGCCAGCCAATCTATACAAAAAGTGTTGTCAAAAACTCTTTGAAATTCAATAATTTCTTTACCTTTCGCTGTTAACAAAATTGAAAAACTGATTACAAGGTCTCCTGCCTCCTACCCTCTTATCTCATAATTTATTCCGCCCAAAACTCTTCTTCCGTCTGCATGGAAGCCACGAAAAATCCCTTCCCACTCGTACACTCTGTTTATTTGCTGTTAACATTTTTATATATGCGCTTCCGATAAGGGAATCAGAAATCAGGAATTTGACTAATTAGCTGATTCGTACGATTCGCTTAGGGTATGGGCAGAGAGGTGTACTCTCCTGCCATAATGATTGCTCAATTTGTATAAAATATGATAAATCGCTGACGAACAGCACACCGCTGCTGCCGCGTCCCAAAAAAATGATCTCCAATTGCGGCTTGCGGGTTTTATCTTTACCCCGATGCGATAACTAATGGTTGACGTACACCACGTGTGAATGGGCACCAGAACGGATACCGATATCCCCACCTAACAAATGTTAATCCAACTCCAGATGGGGAAACCGGTATCGTCGTCAGTGCGAAATAATATTGTTAATTAAACGTTGGGTCCCAGTTTTCAGATTGCATTTCGGTTCTTCCTCATTGGATGCTTTAAAAGTTGTGGAAAATTTGTGCCAGAAGAATAAGGTTAATGGCAGAGACACGTACGGGAAGAGTACCTTTTGATATGACGTCAATACCAGAGAAGAGTTTCACACCAGGCTGTCAATAAACAGGTTCCCCAAAAATAATCTAAGTTCTTCTTGAATTTTCATTATCTTTTTCTGGTCTCTCTTTACAACAGTTATTCCTTTTCCTCATGATCAGTTGCCAATTCCTTACATAAATCATATTTCCATTTCCATCTATACATTTATATCCCACATCAAATATCATTAGGCAGACCCCTCCCTCTCCATGCCACTGAAGTGTGTGTGAGTGTTTAATCCGATCTCAGGCAATTAGCAGCAACTGTTGAGTAATGCCAATGCTTAACAAACAATTTCATTGTTCAAAGTGCACAAATTATCTAAAATTGTTGCTTAGAGATTCCTGAGAATAATGACTGAAAGCCAACGCAACAAAACGGTTTATTATGTGTGTTCCAAATCCCAAAACTGACCAAATTTAGGGATGAAACTGGGACTTCAAATGGTGAAAACAAGCTATGAAAAGGGCTTGTCCTTTTATTTCATATATAAATTCACTCAGAGTTAGGTCTGTAGATTTGACCCATTTTTGTATTATTTTTCAACAAATTAAAAAATGTTTGTCGAGAAATATTGTCGAAGATTAAAAGGTAAAAAGTTCGTTTCTTCCCAACCAAGAGTTGGGAACTCAGACATTATTTCGTCACCAGAGCGATGGTTAATCATTCGAATATGCTCAGTTCCTAGAACACTCAATCCCTTGTTAAAAATTCAATGAATATTCTAAGATTTTATATACAATCTATGATACCACATATATTTCTAGCTCTATTCTGATCATTATGAAATTCTGAAGTTCCTTCATTTCTCTTTTATATGAACCCAAAAAATGGTTATTGGTTCTTTTCAGTTTTTGTTTGTTTGTGATAAGTAAAAGTTGTTTTACTCGGGGTCTTACTGTGGGACTACACATTTACAAGGTCCAACAATTAAGACTTAAATAGGATATAGTTATAGTAAACGTAAAGTATGGATACTTAGAACTCTATAGATATAGTATGTGATACTAAAATGCCAGCCAATATATCGAATATATCGTTGTGTCTGTTTGCTGTTGCTTTCGGGGGCAACACTTATAACTAATTAGTTAATAATATTAAGTCACATTTTGTGTGTGTTCCGAAAGTTTATCAATCTTTGGCACAAATACTGCGAATATACACCCCACTCCGCCCAGGTGGTGTGCCCCCCTCAATTTAGATAGAACTTAACCTTCGGCACACCGCTGGACACAATGCTGCTGCTGCGTGTGCTCTTGCCACTCTTGCTACCATTGCCACCACCCAGGAGTGGGGTATGGGCACCACCATGTCCATCATTACCTTCCAGGCGACGCAGCAAGCGATCCTGATCGCTGACACGCGGCGTTGTGGGCATCTCCCGATTGGGCGAATGTATGCCAGCCAAGTAAGTCTTTGTGCTGATGCGATTCAACTTTGTGGGCTGATGATCTTGGAAGATCTGCGAATTGGCAAACACTGCCAATATCTCGGGACCCAGTGTGGGTACATTTATTTGCGTCTCGCGACGATAGTCTTCCTCATGCATCTTGGAACTAAACGGGCGAGAGAGAGAGAGAGCGAATAGTTTGTGTGTAAATTAATAATTCAAATTATAATCCAATTGCTAATCGATTGCCTCTCCGCAAACAATGTGCTAAATATGATCTTTGGTTGGTTTTGTGTGGTGGGAGATCCGATCGAAATTTGATCTATCAATTAGTACCTCATTAGACTCAGGCCCAGACCGGAGCTGTTTTGCCCGATTTGCGGCTGATCGCAAATCGGTTGCTGTGGCACAGTCAACGAATTATTATTGTCCGCCGTTGCTGGCTGTATGCGTCCAATGATTTGGCCATTCTTTTGAGCTGCCAAATAGTCCTCGTCGTCTTCGGGATTGTAATTGGCTGTAGTGGAGAGTAAGAAACGGATGTGATGTTAGTGGTAAAGTTGAATAGTGGAGA